ATCATCTATGCTTTCATGATTGTATCTTTTTATATTCATCAAATCGATGAGACTTACTTGAGTTTCTCCTCTAAAGAATTGCTCATGAAAATTTCTTTCCAGTTGCAGCCAATTATATATCGAATTGGGTGACAACGAAGTAAACCAAGTAAAAGCATTCTTAGTCAAAGAACTAGGGAAATATTTCATCTTTAATTCCTCACTCATCGCTAAGTCCCCACATTCGATCTGATATCGAGCTACATGCTCGATAGTTGATTCACCAACTTCTCCAGCAAATTTGGTGAATTTAGGTACTTTGTATCCTCGAGGTAATTCCGTCTCGAGAATCGCATTTGGGAAGGGAGACACAAAGTATGTTTGATTGGGTGGTCTAAATTCCATCCCTTGGAAATTCATCCTCTGTCCTAACATGTGATTATACTGCATGTTATTCTGATTGTACATATTTTGAAATCCCTCATTCAGATTCCCACAAATATCATTCCTCACCTGTTGGTATTCATTCCCCGTATGCTGATGTTGATCATTGTTTCGATTTCTCCTCAATAGATACGGGGGATTGATATTAGCATTCTAGTTAGCATGATTTTCTACCCTTGTTCGTCGAGGTACAACCAATGCATCCCTGATTCGTGACATTTGGTATGCTAATATCTCAAAACTAGCAGTAGTGTTTTGAACTAATGGATTTAGGACTGTAGTCAACTGTTGTGATAACATATTCACCATCTCAAAATTGCTCTCATCCATTTGTTGTCTAAGTACTCCTAATGAGTTACTGGATATCCCAGTACCAGTGTTTTCGATAGTCTCAAAATTGGATCGATGATAATCTCTATCGAATGTATATCTCCCATGATCCAGATTTCCTCTATGATCTAGATTTCCTCTATGATCTAGATTTGGAGGTGTTTGTTGTGTGCCTAAATTCTGTCCACTTCCTGAATTCTGGGGGATTGCTAAGTTTTGAGATGTCCCTAAATTCGGAGGGACTCCAAAATTTTGCGGCATACCTAGTGTTTGAGGCATTCCTAAGTTATATCTCGAATTCCGCTGTGTTGAAGAAGTTTCAGCCCCACTTATATTATTAAGCGAAAACTCAGGCGGTCTTACACTCATATATGGCCCTACATATGTTGTTGTGGGGTTTCCCACAGTTTGCATATTATTTGGTACCACCGCACTAGATCCTACTTGGGTGTTTGTTAAGGTGCCTGAATTTTGTTCATTACCCACAGGTATCGACATACTCACAGTTGTCGATGTTACAGACATATTCCCATTATGACTTTGCCCCCCAGTATTTGGTGAATGTACACCATTTAGACCCTCACTGTTACTCTGGTTATTTGATGAATTTTGACTCATTCTTATAACTTGCCCACTCCTTAATCTCATACACTCTTGAACTAACCAATTTTGTGTTTTTAACACAAGGCTACCCCTACCTGGTGCGCCAATTTGTTTCTGGTGGAATTTCGATCGATTCCGATTCTTAAGAGATTTTGTTCTAACCAAAACTCAACTACGCAAGTTCTTTATACTTAGGCTAGCAAATGTTTTTTCAATCGAAATGTATATGAGAATCGAAAATATCACAATATCGAGAAAATCCCACTAACGTGTCATGACTTATTGAAAACACTATTTTTGGTATTTTGTATTTATAGTACTCGAAGAGAAAAAGGCAGTAAAATATTAAATAAAAAAAGTTGTACCGAATATTAAATTGCGAAGAAATGTAAAGTACGGAAACTTTAAACTTGCATTAAGTGTAAACGACAAGGAATCGAAATTGCGGAACTAACGGGAAATCGAGATTGCAGAAATGTAAATAGCAAGAAATCGAAATACGCAGAAAAAGTAAATAACTGGAAATCGAATTTGCATCGAAGTTAAAGGACAAGAAATTTAAATGCAGAAAACTTAACTTCCATTAAACTGAAATTGACCAGGAATCGAAAACACAGAAACTTAAAGTTGCTAAACATAAAATGCATCAAAGTAAATTACCAAGGAAAATAAAGAAAGCGGTAAAGGTACTCAATGAGCGTGGAAATCCAGATCGCCAGAAACTTCATGATGTTCGTCGTTCTTTGGTAGACTTCTCACTAATATTTCTGTTCTCTGCCAATTTTCCACCCCCCCTCTCTCATCTTTCGCTCTATTTATAGAGTGTCTTTTCAAGTAGTTTCTTAAGAGCAGTTAATGAAAACTGCTACCACGTTCTCTGTGCACGTCTTTTTGCAGTTTTGCTCCTAGCTCTATGGTTTAGAAACTGCATCCACGTTCCCATGCATGAGGTAACTGTTCCCTTGACCTTCGGCCTTTGCCACCGCTTACTATGTTCGATGTATACGTCGACTGTTCTTTTTAGCCAAAATTTCGATATTCGCGTATGTTAGCCTTCCCTTCGATTTAGACTTCGAGACTTCGAGAGTTTTGGATTGCTTTTGATTCTCGGTATCCTTAACGTTACATGATTTTGATTTCTTGATTTTCTTCACCAACGGACGTTAAGCGTTATTCCTCGATTCTCAATTTCAATACTCGATATGTTTTTATCTTTGTGGTCACCAGGTGTCTTGTCAATTTTATCGATTTTTCAATCAATTGTATAGTTCTCGATTTTTGCTTCCCTTCACTTTTTCGATCTTTTTATTGATCTCTTACTAACACATATAATATAAAAATATTCTTAATTTAAAATTTTGAATTAAAAGTGATATGATGTAAGTTGAACTCGTATTTATATAGATTAACATTATATATTATAATTTTCATATCATCTTCTCCTACACTTATATAATAATAATTTCAAAACTCCTTACTAATCATCATAAAATTAATTAAAAAAATTTCTTTAATTTATGAATCTATCAAAATATTATCTCAATAAAAACATTTTGGTTATAATAAATTTATAAGTGTCTCTATTAATTAAAGTTTTTTTTAATTTATAAATCTATCGTATATTATCTCAATAAAAACATTTTTGTTGTAATAAATTTATAAGTATCTCTATTTTTAAGTTAAATATTTTGTTATGAAATCATTTTGTCTCCTCTTTTAAAATTATTAAACAAATATATTTAAGTTTTAATCTACTTTCAGTCAATTCAACCATTAATTTTAATATAATCAAATATTTTAATAATTTAAAACACACCAATTCTAAATCTATAAAATATTAAAAATCTAATAAGAAATAGGTAAAATACACAATAATATATAGATATCCATCTCATCTTGTAAACACCAACCAAAATCCGGTGCAAATAAAATATTTACGAAAAAAAAAGTTCAAAACAATTGTTATTATTTTTCTTTTATCAAAATTTGATTTTTTAAAAGGGTTGGTGCTTTATTTGTATATTAGATGAGAAGAAATGACATTAATATTTTCTTCCCAATAGTATTTTTTTTATTAATATGCAAAATTCTCTAAAATCATATATTTTAATGATATCTAATGATTGAGAGAATATCTCTTTCAATTGAAAATAGAATAAGAGGAAATATAGATTTTTAATTGAAAAATGTTTTACACGCCTCTCTTCATCATGCAATATATCAACATCCCTATTTAAGAAAGTGTGATAGATTACAAAAGTGTGAGAGGTGATGTTGGGTAAAAGGTGAGGTCCAAACTAAATTATTCACGAAGTCTTAGAAAAACACATATAATTCCTCTCCCTCCATTTCTTCCATAATTGTCTCATTTCACTCCTTCCAAACACTATACAATTTTTTTTTAATTAATATATTCTTTTACGATTTTTTTTTACATAAATAAATATATTTTTCATGTATAATAACAATAAAACATATTTGTGCTTATATAATTTTTATATAATATTAACTAATTTATTAAGTTTTTAATTATCCGTATTAAAGAAATAATTAATTTTTTTTTCACATGATGTGTATATTTTTAATGGTAGAAAAATTCAAATTTTATGAAATATCATAAATAATTTCATATATGTACTATTATCGTCTTTAAATTCGTGAAATTTTTACTTAATTAATTTTGAGTAATATATGATAATTATTTTCATAAATATTGATGAATAATACTTAATCTACACACATACACAAAAGCTGATAAATACAAGTAGTTATCATGATTATTATATAAAAACATATTTTACTGTCTTAAATTTATACTAATTATTTTACTATTGTGTATTAATGTATTTATGTTTGAAAAATAATTACTAAAAAAATAAAATTAGATAATCATTGACTTTCTAATTCTGTTAATTTTTTATTTAAATGATATATTTTTTATAGTTGTTTTGGTGTCATATTTTATAAGATAATATTATCTTTTATTAAAATAAAAAATTATTATTATGTGTGAAAGAGAAAATAAATATAAAAGAATAATTATTAAGGAAGAAAAGGTAAAGAAATATATATGAAAAGAAAAGAAAAGAAAAGAAAAGAAAAAGTTAATAATATATATATATATATATATATATATATATATATATATTCCATTATTCATTTCAGATCTATAATTCACTATAATAATAATATTATTATTATAATAATAAATATATAAATTTAAAAGGTTTTATTAATATTATATTATTAAAATTGGGTTATTTAACGAATGTTTGTTAGATGAGAGGGTCAACTTATCATTTTCTTTATATTTATAAATAAATTTTGGTTATATTTTTTTACTTTATTTTTTAATAATTTTTAACAACTAGGTAAAATGTATTAAAAATGACTAGTTTAAAAATTGTTAAATCATATAATGATTTGAGATAAGTGATGATTTGTAACAATTATTAGAGTCTTTAATTATTCTGATTTGTGAAAAATGATCTGGGTTTTTATAAATTGATCACGTATAAATTCAGTTTTATAAATTCAGTTTTTATATAATACAAACATGGTATTATATATATTATATGTAACGACTTCGACTTCAACCTGGAATTATAATTTTTGTTCTGCAGACCCAAGCCCACCTCACTGCCATGGATTCGTTGCGCGTCGCCACTACACCGCCACCACTCCTCCGCCGTCAAGCTCTCTACCAAATGACGCGCCACCCAGGCACCGCGCGTCCCTGCCCCAGGCCCTTCATCGCCGCCACGCTTTCCACGCCGCCGGAGGCCGCGCAATCTTCCCATCCCGCCGCCGTGGTAGTTGAGGATCCCTCGCCGGAGGCTCCTCCTCGCCGCCGGGTCTCGCCGGATGACCTCCAGTACCCTCCCGGCTACGTCGGCGCGGTTCCCGAACGGTCCCGCTCCGACGGTGGCGGCGACGGCGTGATGAATGCGATGGGTTATTTGACTAATATTCTCTCTTCGAAGGTCTATGACGTGGCAATCGAGTCCCCTCTGCAATTGGCGCCAAAGCTTTCTCGGAGACTCGGGGTTAAGGTTTGGCTCAAGAGAGAGGATTTGCAACCTGTAAGTTCCCACCACCTTTGTTTCATCTGGGTGGATATCAATTTCTGATTTTGATGTGCAATGGCTGTTAAAATGCTTCATCGTTTAACTACTATTGTTAGAAAAAGTTGAGTTTAATAGGTCCTAGTTTCTAAACACCAGAAATTGTCCTAGTCTTTTAATTAATTATGAACATATAACTTTTAAGGCAAATATTTTAAAAGTAACGTTACTAAACTTTACTATACATGACAATTTTGTGATGGCAGTGTTAAAGAAAAATTATTTTTGTTAACAAAATATTTCATTGATGTAAATGACAATATTTTTGCTTGAGATGGAAGGAACTGTGTTCAGTCATAAATTTTTATTTTTACCTCTGTTTTTGGTTTTTAGTTTTAACAGTGAAGGGCTTAATGTATTTCCTCGGATTTGAAACAAATAGAGTATTAAGATATGCCGTATGGTTTACTAGAAGATGAGTGAACAAGATACGTGTTTGTTATTGAATGAGTATTTGAAATTGGGGTGTAGGTTTTCTCATTTAAGCTTCGTGGAGCTTATAATATGATGGCAAAGCTTCCCAGCGAGTTGTTGGAAAAGGGGGTTATCTGCTCGTCTGCTGGGAATCATGCTCAAGGAGTTGCATTGTCTGCCAAGAAATTGAATTGTAGTGCGGTGATTGCAATGCCTGTTACCACCCCAGAAATCAAGGTGTGTTTTTGTTTATATATTTGCTTTTGCTTGCTTGTCTCTGATTCTATCCCAGTGAAAGAAAATTTGTTCAATTAAGTTATGTTTTCTTTTGTTTCTTGTAACTTTGCAGTGGAAATCTGTGGAGGCACTGGGTGCTACGGTTGTGCTTGTGGGGGATTCATATGATGAAGCACAAGCATATGCTAAAAAGCGGGGGATAGAGGAGGGTAGGACATTTATACCTCCTTTTGATCATCCTGATGTCATCATGGGTCAGGGAACGGTTGGGATGGAAATTGTGCGCCAAATGAACGGTCCCTTGCATGCAATCTTTGTGCCAGTGGGAGGGGGGGGTCTCATTGCTGGTATTGCTGCTTATGTGAAGAGGGTTAATCCAGAGGTTTACATCATGTTTATGTTATTGGTTGTTGTGATTTTGTATGGTCTCCATTAAGAGAAATGATTATTGATGTCTAGTATGATTACATAGGTGAGAATTATTGGGGTGGAGCCCACTGATGCAAATGCAATGGCGTTGTCACTCCATCATGATCAGAGGGTGATTTTGGACCAGGTTGGAGGATTTGCAGATGGTGTGGCTGTTAAAGAGGTTGGTGAAGAAACTTTCCGAATATGCAAGGAGTTGGTAGATGGTGTTGTTCTTGTAAGCCGTGATTCAATTTGTGCGTCAATAAAGGTAACATTTTCTTTTGTTTGTGAAGTTTACATTCTAAATCTCTGGTTCTTTATATTCTTTTCAGATTTATATTTTTAACTTTATATATATATATATATATATATATATATATATATAATTCTTTAGCATCTTTTGTGCAATTGTTAGGAAATTCATTGTATCTTGTCAAATGAAGTAAGTCTATACTCATTACTCATTAAAAGTGTGAAGATCTTTTACTCAAGCAAATTGTTCGGATGATATGCCATCTATTGTTCTTGACAGTTGATCAGAAATTTGTTAAGTATTTCAATGAGTTAATAATTGAGATTTGCTTAATAACTTATGAACCCGAGTCAGCAAGTAGTTTCAAATTATAAATTGATAGCTGGAGGACTATAGTGCAATAATATCTAGAGGAACTAGAATATCTTGACAAATTATTTGTAGTTTTTTGTGTAGTTAAAGAATTATCTTGTCCTTTTTTGTTTCTACATATTTGGGATATGTTTTTGTTTATTCTGTATCTTTGTTGAGGTTGGAGGAAGGAGATGGGAGAGAATGGTGGCAGTAGTTGGAAGAACCTTTTACCAAATTACTTAACACTAGAGGCTATTTAATAAATAGGCATGTGTTATATTTAGATGAACTTGTGTATAAAATTTACCTGTACTTTTAGAGGCTGTTGTTCTGTTGTTGACATTCTCTCTATCTCTTGGCGCTTAGGCGGCTCCATTGTTGGAATTTTATTGGTCCAAATGTAGCTCTTCTATTTGTAACCTTAGATGGACTTAATTTTACAGACCTTTGATTGTCTTGTACATTTAATGAAAAGCAGTACATATTTGTATTACTTATGGGATTTGACTAAAGTAAACTTGTTGCAGGATATGTTTGAGGAGAAAAGGAACATATTGGAACCAGCAGGTGCACTTGCACTTGCTGGAGCTGAGGCATACTGCAAGTATAATGGGATCCGGGGGGAAAACATTGTAGTAATAACCAGTGGAGCAAACATGAATTTTGATAAACTTCGGGTTGTAACTGAGCTCGCCAATGTTGGTCGTAAACAAGAGGCTGTGCTGGCCACTGTTATGCCAGAGGAACCAGGCAGTTTCAAAAAATTTTGTCAATTGGTATGTCAGCTACTTTGGCTAACATTTTCTCTACAAGTTTTCTTCATGATTGTTCTTATTTTCTATCTTATCTGGCAGGTGGGGCAGGTGAACATCACAGAATTCAAATACAGATACAACTCTGATAAAAAGGCGGTTGTCCTCTACAGGTAAGATCACAATTGCCTGATCATTTTTTCTTTATCCACTATCAATTTTTAAGAAGAAACCCTGAATATTGACATATCTCTGTTTCAATTTATTAGTTTTCATTGACTATCAAATTCTCTAGGGATACTATCTTCTTAACAACCTTCTTATTATCTTTAATATATATCTGTTAACAACTAGTATTATGTTAAGGCAGCCCATAACATATTGTTTACATGCAGCGTTGGGGTTCACACAGTCTCCGAACTAAGAGCAATGCAGGAGAGGATGGAATCTTCTCGGCTCCAAACTTACAATCTCACAGAAAGTGACTTGGTGAAAGACCACTTGCGTTACCTGGTATGTTGGCCACACAAAGTTCCTTCACACTGAAGCTTATTATTTCATTTCCCTTTCTCAACACTATTCCCAACGATCAAACTGTATATCAATATTGTTGTTAGGTATATTGTTTTTTCTGATGATGCCGGTCCATATTAAAGATGTTCAAAATTAAGTAACATCACGCAACTAAGCCGCCCCATTTAATTTATTTGTCTCGTCTTCTTGCGATGCTCTTTATGAAACTTGTATCTCTCACGATCGTTGAATGACTGATACTTTGTTTGTATTGTTGAACTAATTTAATGTTGTTCTGAACACATTTCAGATGGGAGGTAGATCAAATGTTCAGAATGAGGTTCTGTGTCGTTTTACCTTTCCAGAAAGACCCGGTGCCTTGATGAAATTTTTGGACCCCTTCAGTCCACGTTGGAATATTAGTTTATTCCATTACCGAGGGGAGGTGGGAATTTTTTACTTTCTATTCCTTTAGTCAAACATACTGCATGAGGGTATCATGTGTATGGAATAAAACTTAAAAGCAGTTCCTTATGTCATTTTGATCTTAATTAGAGTTTCACTTTGGTAACTTAAGTGGATCTTTAATGCAAATATTTGTTACACAAATTACTGGGGTGAATCTTCAACATTGATTGGACAACAACACTAAAAGCACTTAAAGAACTGCATCTAATTTTTGTCTTTTATGAATTTTCTTTCCTTTTCCTTTGACCAATGTATATCTGATGTCATCCTTATACTTAATGATCAACAGGGTGAGACTGGAGCAAATGTTCTAGTTGGAATTCAGGTACCCAAAAATGAGATGGATGAATTCCATGACCGTGCCAACAAACTTGGATATGATTATAAAGTGGTGAATAACGATGATGACTTCCAGCTTCTAATGCACTGATGATGGTTTTAGGCACTTGTCACTATTGTGTATTTTAGTGGACAAGATTGTCGTATTTAATATTTCATCGGACTTCTAAAAGTTGGATGTGGGAAAGATTGATAGGAAGTGGCCCTTCAGCCATGTCATCGGTTGATGATTAGAGGAAGTAGCTCTTATTACCTAGTGCGGCATCTTGTTATATTTTTATAATGTCTAATTTTATTTTGATTTTGGAAAGCCTTGGGAGTCCTATAATGTTGTTGACTGATTATCACTTTTCCATGTAATATAAGTGTCTTCAAAAAGGTTGTTTTCTATTTTCAGCAGCCTGAGGATTGTGGTGCAGTTTTTAATAAGTTGAAAAACTTGAATTTTTCGTCTTGCATTAATGGAAGAACAATAATGGTGAAGGACTAGAATCAGAAGAACTACCTTCAATGGTGCGAATGCTGGCACTGTGATATGGTTGGCCCTACTGTCATTAAATGCTATTTAATCTGTGCATCAATCGTAAAACGCTGCCCCCAAGGGGAGGAGAATCCAAATATCATTCTATTTCTTTTTGTAGCTCAAATGCTCCATGTATCAGAGGTTCATCTCTGACCCAATATTCTCTGTTCATGAATTCTGATTATTCAAATCCAAATACATATAAAAAAAAGGAGTTTTTCCTTTCTTTTATACGTTGGGTTTTAATACAAATTTTTTTAAGGCGTATTACCAAAACCTTTGTACGAAATATGAATTAGAGAAAAAACATCTCTTCAACCTCAATTGTGTTATTTTTCTAATTCATTCTGTTAACCCTGTTTTAAAAATTTTAAATCAAACAACTTAGTTTTCTGAATAACTAATTGTCCCGCAATATTTTGAAAAGTTATTAATAAAAAAGAGAGTAAAATTCTTTTTTTCATTAGTTAATGTATTATTGTTATTACAAATTATTATACAAATGAGTTTAAACAAATAATTTATAAATTATTTTGACCGAATTGATGAAAAAGGCTAAGTTCGGATAAGGAGTTTGGAAGTCAACCCATTATCAAAATAGAGTTGTTTCTTCTAGCGTTCAGATGTTAAAAGCAGGCCCATTTGTAGAAGATGCTAAACACTCTTGTTAATATTGAATATATATTAGTGATTTCCTAAGGGTGTTTATATAAAGTCTGTTTTTAATTGAATAAAGATGAAAAAAATGTTTTATCAAGGATCTTAAATAATTTTTATAATATGTTAGATTTATAAATGATAAATTTACAATTTATTTTTATTTGAAGATATTATCTTAAGGTAGATATACAAAATTTTCAAACTTGAAAATCGAGTTTAATATTTATACAAGCTTGAGGTTGAACAAATTTATATTTTTTGACTCATTTATCTTATTAAACTACTAATTGGCTATTGTTAATAATTTGTTTTTTTTCCTAAGTGCTTCGTTTTAGTTATAATTTTTAAACCATTTGGGCAATAAAGAAACATGATAGTTATTCAGTTCAAAATAATTCATTTCTCATCCTTTGTTGGCATCTGAAATTTTAGGATCAAGATAAAGTAGATTAGAGAAAATAGAAATATTGTTTCTAAATTCGTTAAGAGTGTTTGAGTGGGTGATTTCACTGGAAATGTCGAAGAAATTTCTTCTCCCCTAATTCCAAAATTGACACCTTTGAAATATTATTCCTCTAAGCATAAGAAAAAGGAAACTCCTTCATCACTCCCTTCATCAACTAAACTTTCCATAGTTAACAGTAGAAATCGAAAAGACAAGCATCCTCGCATGACCTCTTTCAAGTATAGTTGAGTTTCTAGGACTGTGGAATTCTTAGCACCACTGTTTGTTATGTGTTTTTATCAAGTATTGTGGAGGAAGAAGATCATGATGTTATGACAGTACATAAATGTTCATCTTCCGTTAGGTTTTACATAAAGCCATCATATCCTAAAGATTTATGTTTGTGTATTAATGTTGGTTGAAAAACTTATATATCTCTCCAATATTTACTTATTTTAAATTCGAGATGTTGTCTAAATTTAATGTTTTCCTTACCCAACTTCATTCTTAGCAGTTTATATACTTTTATCGACTAAGGTACGGTACGTAGATCTATTGAATATCTCATAATAGAATTCAATATGAAAAAACTTTTTTATTTTTATTCAATAATTCAAAAGTTTTAAGTGTTTTTTTTTAAGGTTAAATGTTGTCCATCTAATTTTTCAAACAAACTATTCTATTAATTCTTACGTTTTTCTTTATAATGACAATAAGTTCTTTTAAAGTTCAAATCTCATATCAACAATCTCCGTACCATGGAGGATGGAGAAGATACGATGTTGATCAAGAGATTAACTTACCCTATTAACTATAAGGGAATAATGAGCATTCCCATGGTTAAGGATCAAAGATCCATATTTCAAAGTAGAATATTGAGAACCAAGATGATATAAATAAATCTCCTTTTACATATCAAACCTCTTAACCCTTGTTGTTGACTTTGTACACAATATTTATGTGTTATCATTTGAGGGAAAGTTGGCTCCATGAAATATCTCGATCATTGGTATACCAACTTGAATGTTAATTCATTATGCCATACTACACTTATTATTCATCAATTTTCCATAGAAAACATTCTTTCTCGGTTTGACTTTGAGGTTATAAACCATGTTGGGTCAAAGACAACCTAGAATATGAGAAGGTGATAATGCTTGTTAATTAGTAATTGTTTGTCATCTTCCTGAATTCATTAGTGTTATTGAGATAAACAAGATGAACTTAAAAAATTTATGACCGAAACCAAAACAATGTTAACTATTTGAGTTATTAGATGAAAGTTCATGAAAAGTCAGGTTCCTCTACGACTAAAAAGAGCAAGGTCCTCTTGTAACAAATTTTGAAAGAAAACTTGAAAATTAGAGAATTTACGTGGTCAATTAGCCATGGAAAATGATAAGGCCAATGTAGTTAAAGATCCAATGGTCTTATTATTAAATGAGGCCAAGGTTTGGAAGGTCAACTTATTAAAATTTAAAAACTTTAAAAGAATGCTTTGACAGACAAGAGGAGGGTTTTCAAAAGTTATTCGTCTATATGGTTATATGTCTTTATCTTGACTTGAATCAATTTGATATAAAAAAGGATTATTGTGAGTTACTAACTAATAAATTGTTAAACTATGTTTATTTTGTAGTTATTATGATTTCTAAACCTACACTTTTAATCTTAAGTTATTATGTTAGTTTCAACTGAAATGTTCAACTACTCCTCCTTTTCTAAATTTCTATGAATGTTATTATCTTGACTTATTTAATCTCAAATAAGATTATAATATGCTCTAAATATGATTATAACTTATCAAATTCCTAAATAAGATATTGTTATAAAATATTATGCAAGAGTTCTATTTGATAATGACTTGTAGAATCGCGGGTAAGATAATGACTATTATAGAAAGTTCGTTCTTTAACTTGAATATTGTACCAATGATTTGCTCGTCCTTTTTAGATTTCTTCACGAATCTGAGCATCTTCTCAAATATGAATGAAGTCTAATTTGAATTATATATTTTCTTTGCATGATCATGAAACATAGTTGTCGCCATAATTCTTCATCTTCATTAAGCTTAATAGGGATCATAACATTAGTGTCATATGTTAATTTAAATGGAGTGTTTTTCATGGAAGGTTGTGGAGTACCATGGTATTCCACAATATACTCAAAATTACATCCACATGTTACCCTTTAGCCTTGTCCAATTTATTTCTAGGTTTGTTGAATATAACCTTATTTGTAGTCTCAACTTGACTACGAGCTTATGGGTGCTAGACTAGATACATGATGAGGGTTTTCATCTATTGAAAAAATTGTTCTAGATTTTTGTCAATAAATTGACATTTATTGTCAATGATGATTACATTGGGCAAAAAATATACAATTAACACCAATAAACCTCACCAACACAAATCAAAGTTAATTTATGAAATGACACTATTAAAAATCTAATTGAGCCCAAATTAATCCATCAAAATGTGTGTCTTAATTACATTATCAATATACATTTGTTATTTTTTATTTGATTTCTTTACCATGACTATACTAACTATTAGTGGAAAAAATCGATATATGGATCGAAAAGCGGATGGAAGGAAATCGGGGATCGTATGTTAGTTGAAAAATTGATAAATCGAAAAGATGGTTGGAAGACATTCGATGACCATGTATTAGTATGAAAACATCGATCGAGAATTGAAATCGAGAATTGGAATCGAGAATCGAAAGAAGAAGATTCGATGGCTATTACCGAAGAAAATCGAGAATGGAAAGAAGAGGATTTGATGACTATTGCTGAAGGAAATCGAGAATTGGAATCGAGAATCGAAAGAAGAAGATTCGATAGCTATTGCTGAAGAAAATCGAGAATGGGAATCGAGAATCGAAAGAAAAGGGTTCGATGGCTATTGCTGAAGGAAATCGAGAATTGAAATCGAGAATCAGAAGATAGAGGAAATTCAATGAAAGTAAGAAATTGATAATAAAGTATTGAGTGTAAAGTTAAGGTTAAGGGAAATCAGAAGCAATTCAAAGTACTCGATATCTGGAATCGAGATCGAGGGGAATGGTTATCATGCACATGGAACAATGGAAGCGACTTTCCAAATCGTGGCCAAGTTAGAAATTGAGGAACGGTTAAAGCGCACATGGAACGTGGAAGCGGTTTTCTAAACTGTAGGCTAAGGTAAACATCGAGGGACGTACACATGGAACGTGGTAGCAGTTTTTTAACTGCTCTTAGGAGGTTACCTGAAAGACACTCTATAAATAAAGCGAAGTTTGAAGAAAAACGGGAAATTGACAGAGACAACAGAAACGCAAGTGAAAAGTCTACAGGAGAACGACGCATCATGAAGTTTCTAGCGCTCTGGATTTCCATTTTCATTAATTGTCTTTACCGCTTTCTTTACTTTCCCTGATAAGTTACTTTCATGTAATTTACTTTCATGCAATTTACGTTTAT